ACAAATTTTACCAATGATTACAAATATGACATTATTCATTACATTTTATGCAATCACTACAGATGTTCATATGTGATGGGTCTACTCTCAGATCTTTAGTGAAACGGTGATAACGAGCTCAGATCTGTTTGAATTGCCTTCGAACCGTTGCTAAACCGCGAGGACACCTGCAAGAACTCAACGTCGGGGGTGTTTTCGGTGTAGAGCCTCTGACGCTCAAGTCAGTATATGAAAGCGATGAAAAGAGGCTGCTCTAAGAGAGCAGCTAGGGAGGAGAGTATGAAATGAATGGAAGTTGGGGTTTAAGGTTACCTCATCTCCTTTATATAGGAGAGAACACTTACTTGAAGTACCCGAAATGCTCCAGTCGGTGGATCTGAAAGGACTAAATTACCCCGGTCGATTCGTCTCCCCTCCTTGCTGAGTCATATCAAGATTCCTTCTTATCCTTTGGAGGACAATAGGTTCCAAGGAATGCATTAAGTGTGTGGAGTCGTCAGTGTGCATCGCGTCTCGGGGTATGAGGATTCGACATCGTGTATGAACAAGTCGACTCAGGATCTTTTGGTCATTTGGAGGATGCATTCTTGTGTCTTCTTAAATAGATGTCGACTATCTGGGAGTCAACTGAACAAAGCCGACTTTTGGGAGTCGATTTGTATGGGATCTGCCATTTCTCACCACCTACTCTTAGGAAGAGTCGACTCTGAGGACATTGACTTGACCATGTCGACAGGAGTATGTCGACGTGCAGGCGATTTTAGCCACTTTTCGGTCGAATGAAAAGCCTCTGGGCCGGTGTATCTTTATATGGCTCTATCAATATGCAATTAAATAGTAAAGTACTATTTATTATAACCAATGAATAAATTTTAAAACATAATACCATTATCTGGGCAACTGGACAGGCTGCCCGCGAGCAAAAGGGGTTAAGGTAGCATCAAATCCCAACTTTAGATTCTTCAAACAATATATTGCTTTCATCATCTTCTTGATACTGACTTAAGCATTGGAAGCTCTTCGCCGGAAACTCCTCCGGAATTGAGTTCTACAGGTATATTCCCGGCGGTTCAGACAGATCGGAGCTCACTTCAACCGGTTCGATCCAGATCTGGGGAGATGACCCATCACATAGTAAAATCTCTTAAAATCGCATAAGCAATTATTATAAAATAAAATTTTAATATTTTTCAGCAAATTAATTGGTCATGATTTCTCAAAATTACATTATTTATTACATTTTTATTAAATCAATACAGGGATTCATATGCAATCAATTTAAGTCATGTAATTTCAATCAATTTAAGTCATGTAATTTTAAATTTTGTGACAATTTCAATCCCCTAAAGGCTGAAATTGCGGCAAAACACTAAATTACAGGATCATAAGACGAAAAGTTAAAATATTGGGACTAAAAATGCTATAATATTAAATCAACATGGCTAAAAATGCAATATTGTTTAACTTAAAAGATTCAATCATATATAAACGCTGAGACCGAGACCGAGACCGAGACCGTCATTCTCATTTCACTCTTTTCATCGAAATATCCCAATAAAAAAATTAAGCAAAAGAGTCTCGAAAGCAAGAATGGCGTCTTGGCTCCTTGGGGACAAAGTTGCGGTGGTTTGGGCGTTGGTTGGCAGCTTATGCGCGGCGTTGATTCCAACCGTCATTGACGGTGAAAGCCATGGCGTTCACTTTGTGTGGATACCGTTGGTGACATTTGGTGCTTACTATGGTGCCTGGAGGATGCGGTGCAGTTCGGCAATGCGAGTCCGGCGAGGGTGGGTCATGTCCGCCGTATGCAACATCGCCGTGGGCGCACTAAGCGCGGTCACCGCCGTGTACCGTCCAAAATGGAACATAGCTTCCCAGTCTCTCTTCGCCGTTGCGTGTTTTGCCTGGATTCAGATTGCCGTGCCCATCTTCGACTTTGGCATTTTTCAGCTGTTTCTGAGACTACCACTGCAATCAGCTGCGATAACGTACGGGTTAAGAGAAATAGGCCCGTACATTTGGGTCGTTTCTCTACTTCTGGTGGGCACGCTTTTCAGCGCGTTCTTGGTCTCCGTACTAGAGGCCCAGCAGGAGGCGGAGCGGGCGGCGGCGGCGGCGCGGCGGGCGGAGGCGGAGGCGCATGAGATTGTTGCCATCGTGATCCCACCAGCGGCGGAGAACCCACCGGCGGCCGCGGAGAACCCACCAGCGGCGGAGAACCCACTGGCGGCGGCGGAGAACCCACCGGCGGCGGCGAAGAGCAATGAGGACCATGAGCACCGTAGTTAGGTTACGTTCTTGAAGTTTTCTTGAGAATGATTCATTACAGTACATATGATTCTTGGCCATTGTTGATATCTGTAGATGTTTCTTGATTATCTGGATGTATAGCATCTCTTCAACAGGAATGTAAAAAATTGCTCCGTCTATGAAAAAAAATTTCTTGATTTGTGTTTAAGAATGGAAGAGCTTTAATGCTTTTGGCTTGTACTTATTAGTGTTGTTGTTAAGCCTAGTTTACTGTTAGCATTATCTTTATATCTTCTAACTATTATGCTGTTACGAATTGGGAGCATTTGAGGCAAGAGAAGCTAGAAAGTCTGTTTCCGTTTCTCAAAACCTGAGAAAGTTTAGTAACCCTGAAGAATGTACTCTAATTAACTTTTTGGTTAATTGGTTTCTTTCGGCCTGCAGTGTGTTCATGATGAGATTGAAACGATTTTGAGCACCAACGAGGGTGCTTTAGTGCGGTGAAGCTACGGCATAACTTGTGGCTATAGCTGAAATTGACCTACATAAAGTGATGGGCGAATTGTGGGGTTCATTGCATAGAAATTTTGTTGAACTTTATGAGTTTCAAAAATGCGTAAACATTGATAACTGTATTAAGCTACTTACTAGAAAAGATGTTAACCTCAATGATTGCGAGTAAACAACTTAAGTTAAGCTGTAATCAGTTCATTTTTCGTAATTGTTCTTTCTATTTTTTATTTTCCTTAATGTTTAGGCTTTGCAGAGTTGTCGAAGTAGCAATTGTTCACTGCTAATTAATTGTCGTCTGTAGGTAAGCCTTTTAGTTGTCAGCTTTAACAAATATATCGTGCATGATATAATGTGAACGAGCTCGGGAGCTTAAGTTCGATTGATATGTTCCATTGTGAATCTTAAAGTCACTGCAACGACTTTTTGCACACGGGATCATCTTGTTGAAATCTCTAGACTTATTTGTGTTGAGTTGATGTGTTAAAAACTTGACTTATTTTTCATTTAGTTGCTTGGGCATTGCTCTTCTAGTCATGAATAATTATTGCATGTTACAGACTTATTGGGTTATTATTTATCTCTCTAATATTCCAGATAACTTGACTTGGTATGATTTGTATGGTGAACAAAAGATTTTGGGGCTTGAGCTACTTTTATTTTAAATAGTTAACAGAAAACTGACGATAAAAATTTGGTATCTTGTTGTAGTATTCCGACTCTGTTTCGGATGAAATGCTATTAAATGTATGTTCCTAAAAATTTGGTTTTGACCGTTAAAGTTAGAAGTCAAAACATATGATGGCAAGAGAAATGATATCAGACGCCTTTTGGCTCTTTTCACGTTCATAGAATTGAAAAGGTTACATATTCTGTCTACGAACATCATTGGAGGTTTTAGCATATGTGGATTTAGGTTGTGCTCATAGATCTTTTGCACTGCACCTGTTGTAAATTTAGTTATACTCTATATCTATCAGCATTCAGCTCTGTTCACATTGACGTGGTTACTATTTCTTATATGCAGAGAAACTACCGATTCTTTTTTATGTTTGTCTTCTCGAAAACTCTGCTATGCATATACGTTTTTTGTTTCTCCTGGGTCTACATTAGAAGGATCATGGTCACCGAGGAGATTTCAATGTGGAGGGCAATGATCAGAACTCCTGCTTCAATTGTTCTGATTGTCTACACTTCCATTGCAGTTTGGTTTGTCGGTGGCCTAACAGCTTTCCATCTTTATCTGATCAGCACAAATCAGGTTAGAACATTGCACTCTTTTGTTAAATATTCCTATTAATCGTCGTTATCCACGTGTACAGCTTCAATCCCAAACCATTTACCGTTTTAGAAAGTTCTGCACAAATTAAGACAAATTGAATTCTGCTTGATTCCCCACCTGAAAGAAATTCTTGATCCTTTTTCCTGTGCATGCGGCTATTATTTATTGCAGACGACCTACGAGAACTTCAGATATAGATACGACCGGCGTGCCAACCCCTACAACAAAGAAGTTGTCAAAAACTTCAAGGAGATATTCTGCGGTCCCACGCCTCCCTCGAAGAACGACTTCCGGGCCCTGGTGCTCCAAGGGCCTCCTCTCCCCCCAAGATCCGTGGCTGCTGGTGGTGGCTTTGTGAGCCCGAACATGGGCAACGCCGGTGATGACATCGAGATGGGCCGGAAAGCTGTTTGGGGAGATGTCGGTTCTGTTTTGGACCAGTCGGAGGCCCAATTGAGTGATAATGATGGGCTCAACAATAGGAAGGAGAGTGGATTAGGTGAGATGTCCCCTGAGATAAGGACGACAGTGGATGAGGTGGACCGTGCGGGGGTTCATCACCCGAGACGGTCGAGCTGGGGAGGAAGAGCGGCAGCTGGGAGATGTCGCCGGAGGTTCTTGCGCTGTCTTCAAGAATAGGAGAGCCGAACAGGACAGCTGGTAGCAGCAGCAGATGTTCGGTCAACAGAGCCCAAGTTATGACAGATGAGGGGAAGGTTCGTCTCGTTTTATTATTAGTCCTTGTGGTGTGATGAAAAGAGGATTGAGGTTTGTGGTGGGTTGTGTATGGTTAATGATATAATGATGTTTGTGCAATTAAGTGTAGTAGTTTTGGGGGGTCTGTTTATCTCTGCTTGCTAGTCTGCATTGTGATTGTTAATTTGTTGTGTTGTACCTTATTTGTAGTGGTCTCATCTCATGTGTGGTTTGTGTGTTCTAATGTTCATTGTTAAATAGTTCTGGCCTGGCTTGAAATGATTTGTATTTTTGTTTCGTTTTTTTTTTTTTTTAAATGTGAATTTGCTTGCGTTTTTTAAGAATTTTGCAGGCGAAGTTGGGATGGATGTAAAATTTTGGTAATTGGTGGAGACAATATATTACTACATGGATAATTGGTGTGATGAATAAATGTGTGAGGAGAAGAAGTGAAGGTGGAAACCTGAAAAAAATAGGGAAAGGCCAAATGTAAGCTATAGTGCTGCAACCGAACCAAACCGAAGTGAGCTGGGATTATTCGAGCTTGTGTTTGTTTACGTTCGAACTGTGTTTGTGTTCGTTCGTTTATTTTCGGAGCAAAAAATCATGTTCGAACTTGTTCGTTTTCGTCAAAGTTTGTGTTCGTTTGTGTCTAAATAATTTAATTGCAAAATATATATCAAATCTTGAGATTGTGTTTGCAAAATATAAGTGCAAATATAAACTTATACTGTTGAAACATAATGTTATTTGCACTTATAAGTGCAAATAACTTTATGTTAAAAAGATGAAGTGCAAATAACTTAACATCTATTAATATATAATAAGGATTAACTTAATTAATTTTTAGTAACTAATTCCCGCCAAAAACATTAATTACTGCCTATAAATAGTAATTTAACCCAATTTCATAAAAACACTATTAATTATGCCCGATTTACATGGATATGGAATAACAACAATTGTATAGAATGAAATAAAAATCATAAAATCGCTGCCATTATCCATACAATACTATTTTAGTATTTTATTTTGCTCCTAAATTTAATTCAGATAATTAAAAACTATCAAATGTCCATTACTGCATAAATTTTAAATTCACTATCATCTTTAATCACAATTTTTTAAAATATCACTATCAACTTTAATAACAATTTTTAATATACGAATAATTAATAATTTTTTAAATGTCAATGTCATGAACTTTAATCATAATTTTTAAAAATATCACTATCAACTTTAATAACAATTTTTAAAATCACTATTAAATGTTGCCCGTTTAAATATGGAATCGAATAAAAATCCTTTATACACGCCATTAAATATGGAATAACAGCAATTGCACATAATTTGGAATTGGAACGTACATAGCAATTTTTTTGGCTCCATTATCACTATTAAATTACTGCCGATTAACATTATTTTTTGTATGAAATGGAATAAAAATTATTTTTTCACGCCATTAAATATGAAATAAAAGCAATTGCACATCCATATATATCTACAAAGGATGATGGAAAAATCCTCAACACGCGTAGGAAAACAAAAATCACAAAATACAAAAATTATTTTATGGCACCATTCAGAGGTACAGTAGACGTCGTGAGTCGATTCAACAAACCGTTTTTGAAGTTGTGAGTAGTTCTACTGCTGGAAACTCATGACGATCCGGAGCATCCAAACGCCTTTCATATCCTGTTTCATGATGAAGGGATAATTATTTTCAAATATTTTATCATTAACATTATTTTCATTGTTTGTATTATTTATTATTTTCAAAACTGAATTTATATTTTTTTTGTATTATTTATTATTTCAACTATGTAGGGTTCATACATGAAAGAAATAGAACGTTCGCAGCATATGAGCTAATTTCGAGATCGCCTTAAACAAAGCGAGGTGTATTTTATTCGCAATTACAATGTTGAATATAATAGTGGGAGGAATAATATAATAACTAATTGTTGGAAGATTGTCCTTAATGGAAGGACAAATTTTATCAAATACAATGGGAATTTTCCTCAATACTAGCAATGATCGAGATATGGTTGTCGTCTGGATTTCTTAGGTTTTTATTATATATAGATTTGATGATGGATGTGTACTACATTTTATCATGAATAAATTTTTATTAGTAGACTCCTCATTCGATTTTGTACTTACATACAATTCTTTTATTGTTTGTTTGTTTTATTTGTTCTACATGATTTATTTTCATATATCTGTTTGTTGTTCATTTTTTTATTTGTGTTCTTTCAAATTCTAATAATTTATAATTTCATGTTATTGAATTTATTTTATTTTATAATTTATTCGATTAAATCATTGCATGCTTGAACAATTTAACATACTCACCTTTTTTTTTAAAATAGATTACATTATAATAATTAAAAAATAGGATATTATATTAAAAATAACAAAATTTGCTTCTTTTTTTTCTTTTATGCGCTTAAAAAATATTAAGCTTGATCAATTAATCAATTAACTGAATAATATAATTAAATAATATAATAATACATTTGAGAGATTCATTTCTATAAATTGTTTCTATAAATTGTGTCTCTATAATCAACTATTAATGAATTTGTGTATAAAGTTTTGTTTTAATGACGATTTAATTATTTTAATGATGATTTTATTATTTTAATACATATTGTATAATCGGGATATTATAATCTTTACTAATAATTAATAATTAAAATAACTAAGAACCATTAGATAAACAAATATATATACTTAACAATATCAGATACACAAATTAACTAAAAAACATGTTTTTAGTCATGGCCAGTTATACGTCGCTGTTTCACGTGTTACTAATAGGAAGGGGTTGTAAATATTAGTTTGTGGGGACGATGAGTTACCCAGTAAACGTTGTATATAAGGAGGTTTTTAATAATGTATAACTTTATACAAATGACGATTTCATGTTTACTTTATAAATGTCATACATATTATAATAACTTATTAATTAATGATCTTTTAATTTTTTAAAATATTTCAAAATATGTACTAGCCCGTGCATCGCACGGGTTACATACTAGTAAAGTTATATGCAGTTATACGGTTTAATTGCAAAATATAAGTGCAAATAACTTTATGTTCCCACTTATGATACATTTACATTGGGCCAATATGCTTCCTATTTGAGCTGAATTTGAAATGGCAAAAATTCATAGAAATAATTCATATGGGCTACAGGGCTAGAATAAATCGCTTTGGGCCGAAAATAAAGTATAAGCGATTAAGCTAGAAGTCTACGAATAATTCGACACACGACGAATATATAATACGACTTATTATATTAGTTAGACATCTAATTAAATAAGTCTAAACGGGAACTGTAGAGCAATTCTCCCTATATATAATTTCTGAATGGACTGAGCCTACGTGGCTGCTTCTGGTGCTTCGGAATCCTACTTGGCGAAAAATCATGTTTCGTAATTAGGCTTGGACATATAATATTAATATATTAATAATTAATAATCTAGGTTTGGACATTCCATAAATATTATTTAGCTAACTTAGGTATTTTAATATCACTTGTACTAATATAACCCTTTAATTCTTTGTAATTTTACATAGTGAGACACTAAGTGACTAATATATCCCTGACTTTTAATTTGCTACCTTCAATTCGCTATTGAATTATAAATATGTGTTTTAAAAGTTGATAAATTTTGTATTTCTTATTGGTTTTACATATATAATGTATAAATTAATCATCTTTTGACCATCTTCGATTTGACATCCATATTGTATATATGAAATAAATAAATTGTATTTATCTTTATAATAATAAAAAAATAATAATATATATTAAAATTCATTGGAAAAATAAATTATTTCTTAATTTTTATATTTATGTTTAATGTAGTTATATATTGTAAGTTAAAAAAATTATTATAATATAACATAGGTAAATCACACAAATAAAAAGTGGCATACTAAATATATAGTAATATATATATATATTTATAAAATGTAATTAAATTTTTAACCACTTTTTCTCATTAATTTTATATTTTAAGAAAAAATTAACAAGCACCCGTATAATACACGGGCGCTGTACTAGTAATACAATACAGACAATTAATATCAATAATAATAAATTTAATAATTAAAAATCCCAAAATATCCCTAAATAGAGGGCATTACAACACTGACATTGTCGAATAATCTACGTGAATATTCAGACTCATAATGAATGATCTTATCACATTTAGAGATAAAAGTTAATGTCAATGCAATTATAGCACTAAACTACTATGTGTCAAGAACAAACAAGTAAATTCAAAATATGTTGTTGAATTTTGGTGTTGCCTCACTTTTATATTTCGATTTTGGGATTAAGGCATTGTAAGAAAAAAGAGATTTAGTTCAATGCTCATTGACGTTGTTAGAGATGTTAAATGGTCATTAGTCCGACGGGCCGGCCCGTTTAGCCCGGAAAAAATAGAGTTAGGTCATTTTATTAGTAGTCCGTTTAAATCAGGGCTTTTAGGCTCGGACCGTTTAGCCCGAAGCCCGTTATGGCTAGCTCGAAACCCGCTGGGCTGGCCCGTTTAACTAGAGTTGAGCGGTGTAAATGTTTTAATCAAATAAGTAATATGCTCTTAGATTTCTTGTATATTACAATTTTGGTATTCTACTACATATGTAAGTATAAGTGGAACGAATTATTATGATTTTGGAATATAATTATTAATAATATTGTTATACTTTGTACCAAAATATTTAAGTCAATCAGAACGACTAATAGGAAACACATGAAACATAGTGATAAACACAGTTGAAAATAATATTTAACTAACCCTTGTTATCTTTTTTAATATTTTTCTCTTTTTTTTTTTATTATTATTATTATTATTATTATTATTATTATTATTATTATTATTATTATTATTATTATTATTATTATAGCCCGCATAACCCGAAGCCTG